CCGCGTGGGGCAGAGCAGATGGGGTGCTGCTGGGTTGGTCCAGTAGCACCGAGGAGCGACGCTACTGGAGCAACCCAGCAGCACCCCAACTGCTCTGCCCCAGGCATCCCCAAGTCAGCTTTTGCTGAAACTGACCAGCGCTGACTATAGGAAGCCCCAGGCAGAGTTGCTCTGCCCCGGGCTTCCTGGAATCAGCTGCTGATCAGTTTCAGCAGCAGCTGACTTGGGGACGCCTGGGGTTCTTAAGTTGATTCTGTATGTAAGTCAGAACTGACGGTCAGTTTCAGCAGTGTCTGAATCTGGACGCCAGTTCCGACTTACATACAGATTCAACTTAAGAACAAACCTACAGTCCCTATCTTGTACGTAACCCGGGGACTGCCTGTATTTTGTAAATACAGCAAATGTATTTTTTCTTTCTAAAAAATCAAAGCTATTATTAAATTTGCTTTTACAGGTGGGTTACATAGGTAATCTAGATTTTATGTGCTCAACCCTGATTGCCCATTAATCTGTCAGAGCACATGCCCTGTGAAGTAAAAGGTTCATTAAGCAAAACGTGTCTAATTTTAAATCTATACCTTTATTTTTCTCCATGGTTATGTGAGATTGAGAAGGATGCTGGGGTTGACTAAAGACTTGCAGATAACATGAAAGACTTACCAGAAGAAGGAGTTACCAGATTCATAACTGTTATCACCCTGCTTCTGGGCCCGCACTGTCAGGTCAAAATTTGAGCCTGCATTTGGCCAGGAGAAATAGAACATCCCAGAATTCAGAATTTTCTTAAGGGCATTAACACGATCCTCTTCCTTGGTTTCTTCCTGGAGAGGACAGAAATCTGTTGCGGTGATTTTGTAAACTTCAGCATCCAGGATTTTTCCCACTGATGTACAGCCTGTCACCAGGACCAGAAAATGCAGCCGAGTGTTACCTAGAAGGTGACAGTTACATAAGAGTTATATAGGAACACAAGCTATGCCATTCTAAATCAGCCCAGTGATATGTCATGTCTGATCTCTTGCTTCCAGCCAAGTTCAGTTTCTCCTTCAGAGGAAGTCAAATAAAACCTATGATGCATGAGGCTAACATGAGATCACAATAGCTACAGGGATAAGTTGAAGGGGAAAGCCAGAAAGACAAGGCAGTTATGACACACATTTCAGAAGCAGCATCAACATTTTAGACTGTCAACTTTTCTACCTTTCCCTCTGCTATGTTGAAAGCTGGCCCTGTGCAAAAGCCCCAGACAAAGCCTATGCATCCCTGAAGCCCTATTGGAGTGAAACTAGCCCTGGTGCTGGCTCACCACACAGAGGCAAATTTCACCCTTGCACAGCTGGCAGTTTTCTTAGTATGCCAGTGGGTTGTTTCAGGTGGCAGCGGTGGGGCCAGGATACTTCCCTGCTTTCCCACCTGCAGACCATGATTAGTCTGGCAGTGGGGGAACTTGTGAAGTCTTTGCACCACCCCCAGAGGTTCCGCCTAGGTACCCATGCCCCTGACAGTGGAAGGAGACCCCATTTACCCCCAGGCCAACCAGGAGTTGGGGGCGGGGCAGTGCACGAAGTCTTCTCCCACCCTGCCAGGAATGCATGGTGCATCTAAGTACCACACACTCCTTGCAGGGCGGGGGCAGGGAGGAAGAAACTTCACGCGCTTCCCCTTGTGCCCAGGCTCTGATTGGCCTGGGGGCAGGGGAGCGGCAGTGCCTCCGCAGGCCGGATCAACCCGCTTGGCGGGCCCTTTCTCCCACCCCTGTCCTACTCCTTCCCCATGCACTTCAGTTGAAAAGTGGCTGGCAATCTATTAGGATGCCCAAGGAACCACTGGGCTTGAAAAACTGCATCACATGATGCTATATCTGCCCCATGAAGCTTGAAAAACTGCATCACATGATGCTAAATCTGCCTTGCAAACCCTTCCCAAAGCACCATGCAGCCAGTTGCACAGTGGGATAGCTACTCACAGTGCACTGCTCTACGTGGTGGAACAAGAACTGCTAGTGTGGATACACTCTGCTTATGCAACCCACACACCTCCTGGGTGTGATGTACTGGCCCATCTAGTGGCATTGAGACCACTTACAGAGAGTATAACGAGTCTGCTCTACAGCCTTAGCTAACAGTCAGGTGGCTTTTAGCTCAAGTGTTATAGGCTCATGCACTAAGCTCCAGAGATCCCAGGCTCGATTCTGCCTGTTGACGTTATTCTGACACAAGGAGCATCGTGTGGACATGCAACAAAAGTGGTGTCTATACTTAGTGATTCCCTGCTATTGTGATTTCACTATTCTGTAGTGATTCCCTACTACAGAGTTTTCAATAAAAAAGCTTTTAGCACTTAAACTTCCCTTGACTCTTTCAGACATCTGATCAGAACACCTGCTTGAAGGGGGCTATTTGCAGACCCCCAACATTTACGCAGACACATAGGAGTGGGACTTCAGCATGTTTCTGTTTGAATCTATTCATGCTGTTCCGCATAGTTCAGTATAAAGGCCAGTGTAGGTGGTTATTTATAAAAAGTTATTTCCTAGCGAGTCTTTCTTTTATCAAGAGTACACCATGTTCCTATTTGTGTGTGTGTGCGTGCGTGTGTAGGGGGAGGGTGTTAAGCACATATGTTGTGTTTTCTTAGCCAATACTATAGCTTTGAGTGTTAGAAAAGGCAATAACCCTTTATATTTTATTCCCACTTACTTTGTAACCGACTGTGCATAATTATCAAGGATTAAAACCAGGAAATTACATCATTTAATGGTGAACCACACTTGGCATCTAATAGAGATGATGCAGAAAAATATCCCTCATCTTGGGCATCTCACAGATTATGAGCCAGGTCGTCAGCTAGTGCAAATCAGTGTAGCAAAGGCCTGGGAAAAATAAGGCCAGCAGTCCGAATTGGAGGTCTCCATATTGCCAGTCAGAAGCCCCGAAAATTGATCCTCTTGCCCTCAAATTCTTCCCCCCAGTCCTCAGCTAAAGCACTGCATGGGTGGGAGAGGGGGAAAGAGCCCTGCGGGCTAGCAGCCCCAGCTGCCCCTGAGGAACCACTGGCTTATACTATAGCCTTATACCGCAAAGACAGCACTGCAGAGCAGCACCTGGCTCCCGGGAGTGGGGCCAGCACTGGGAGCCAGCATGCGCCAGTGAAAGAGTTTAACCGCAACCAGAACAGATAAGCTGATGCTTATCGGTTAACGGGTTACACTTTTAAATCCCTAATACGTATTACTTCAAGCAGCCATAAACTCCCCCCTCCCTTTTTATAAAAATATACAGTTGATTTAATGTGAGAATAGCTACACAGCTTTTGGGCTCTGATCCTACAAAGACTTATGTATGTGCTTAACTCATTGAAGCAGTAAGACTACCTATAAACCTAAAATCAAGCACACACAAGGCTCATCGGGCTTTTGGCCTTAATTTACATTGTTAAATCTGTTACTGTATCTTGCAAATTAAAAGCTTATTTTCTCTGCTTTTGAAATTTACAATTGCTAACGTACTGGGTAATTATTGGGTGGAAATAAAGCATTTAGCTACCAAGATTTTACAGGAGGGTTTTCTGGGCTCTAAACTATTACATTCTTCTTATGCAGTAAATCCCCACAAAAGAAAAAGCCACAGAAAACATCCTGTTTGAAACAGTAAAATAAAATCAGCTTGCCATATGATAGACAATTTCCTACAGTATATGAATGGATGACACTGGATTCTCAGAGGATCATGGCTTAAACTTTTTTCTGAGCCAGTTATTGTCATTAATGCTGTGATATTTTGCAAACAGAGAAACAGTGGCTTCAAGTCACGGAATTCACATTGAGAAAACACCGTACGACAGATACTGTAATCACAAAGAGAGAGAAATGAAAACCAGACACACACTGACCTCCCCGTAGGTCCATATGTTACTTCTCACAATTGTTTATTTCCAAATAGAGCAATACTGTTAGTCCCACTAGCCTTAACGTTTCAAATTGTATCCATTTTATTTGTGTCACATTTTAAACATTGCATCCCATAGTATTCCAAATAAAACTAATTGAAAAAGTGCAAATAATGTGAGCTACCATGTTAGTATACATCACATCAAAACTACATAAATCGGTTTCATTGTTGATCTATCCCTGCTGCATCAGCACTGTGTACACATGCCAGGATCCAACTCTTAGGAGCCAAACAGCAGTCAGGAGGTTTATGCTTTACTGAATACACAAGCAACAGAATTTAAAAAAAACAAAAACAAAAAAAAACCAACAACACCCACACACACCACCAAACTACTGCTGATGTGACAGACATTTGTTGCTTTACTAAATGTAAGTGGCTTCAAGGTTAGAAGAAACAAATTCTACAAGGCTGACAGTATTCCTTTAAGATCAGAATAAAAATTAACCCTGAATCAACTTGCTGCAGTTTCCATTTGCTAGCAGTGCTAATCACAAGCTAGGCTTGTACTGTATTCAGGGGACTGCACGTACTTTAGCTGCAGAAGTTCTTCGTTTGTGGCCAGCAGGTTCTTTGTAGGGATGTAAAATCCCGATTAATCAGTTAAACATTAGGTTAACTGATTAAGCAGGATCCTGGCCCCAGCCCCCCACACTGGGGCTGCCACCACTGACAGGCTCCCAATCCCAGCAGAGGGGCTGCAGCTGCCACTGGCTCCCGGCCCAGGACTCTCCACCTGCGGCAGGCTGTGGGTGAGGGGCTGCTCCCAGGTACTAGTTAACCCTTTCACATCCCTAGCTCTTTGTATACCTATGGAGGAACAAGCCAAAATCCAGCCCTATTTTTCAATAAACAAAACAAAAACTTAGATGAGAAATGAACATTAATAAGCTGGAAGAGACGAAAAATATGTTAAAAGTTTCCTTGTGTCAACATCCCGGGGCAGTAGCAGAAAGCATATTATATGCAACTTAAATGGCTACTGAGTGCCTGATATTCAGAGAGTCATCAGAAAAGAAACAATTTAAAGCAACCCAAGAAAGGAAACCTTGAAGAGGAACCAAAGCGCTCCAGGTCTTAATATGCGCTTCACACTTGCACAAGCCCAAGTGGATATTTTACAGTCACTCTCACCTTGGGAACCTAAATCTGCACTTAAATTGCACTTGAAAGAAAAATTACAATTTACTTTACATGTGGGTAAAAATCGACATTTCTGCTTCCTTCCAGCCTTTACAGCAGGAGTGGGGAAACTTTTTTGGGTCGGGGGCCGCTGACCCACAGAAAAATCAGATGGGGGTGGCATACAAGTGAGAAGCAAAGTAAGAAGCCCCTCACTTTGAGAAGTGAGAGGGAGAAGGACATTCCCCACATTCCCCTTGCACACCAGAGCCTAGTGGGGCCCAGGCTAATAGATTTTGTGTGCTCCAGACCTGCGGGGGAGAGGGGAACACAGAGCACCAGCACGGGCTCCCCAATGATGAACCTTGGGGGCCAGACTCAGACAAGCCGGGGGCCAGGCCTGAGGCTCCCCACCCCTGCTTCACAGTGTGCGTGTGCCAGGCCTGAGGTTCCCCACCCCTGCTTCACAGTGTGCATGTAGAATGACATTTTCATCACTACAGAGCTAACAGGTGGTTAGAAACGCAGAAGCGGCCTTAATGGATCAGACCTTGGCCCATCTAGTCTAGTAACTTGTCTCCCAAAATGCCTAGCACAAGATTCTTCCAAGTAAGACATAAAAAATAACAATATTTGAAAAAGATGAAGGAGTCCCCCTCTTCTTTCCATTTCACTAGAGCAAACACAATCTACAGAATAGAATAAAACTCTTCTTTCAGGGATAGTAGGATAAATTCTGAATACAGTTCCTTGGTGTAAATGTGATGTATAGTAACGGAGATCATAAAGTAGCCCTATGGTGAATTATAATAATCATTTTTGGCTTTGAAGAGGACATTTACAGCAAATAGGAACACTG